CCAGAGAGTGAATTTGAGAAGCTTGAGGATTCAACAAAGCCAGAGATCAAACGGTGCAACCTCTCTAATGTTATTTTGCAGCTCAAGGCTTTAGGTGTTGATGATATTATAGGATTTGATTTCCTGGAAAAACCATCAAGGTGAATCTAAAGATTTTTTTTCACAGTTCCATTGATTTGGTGCACCATTCTCGTTCTGCATGTGTTGCTAGTAGCAGATGATTGTAGATTAGTTACCATCATTAAGATTTTAACCTAGACGGAAATTCCCCACATGTTTTTCTGCTTGACTATGGCCATGTCTTTCTTTCCATAGAGGTTTAGTTTAGCCACTTTCTCATGCCATCCCTTTCAGCCTCCTCTTAGGGGCTTCTCCTGGTGTATGTTACATCTTCAAGTCTCTTTCAGTTGAACTTGAATTCAGCCCATATTTACTGGTAGAGCCTGAGGTCAAGTGACCTATTGATTTGTATTGTGTAGTATAGTATAAATAACCATTTGGGAATATACCTAACATTTTTAAGATGTTAAAAACTTAACAAATTGATTGTTTTGCTGGTTCAGATGCTGAATGTTGGATGTTATAATTGGGTTAATACGGGCTGGCTGGCCATCTATTTGTGTATAGTAAGGGTAAGAGAAAATATTCTTGTTTGGTTCATGCCCGTGGTAGATGACCTTATTTATTGATGTTTACCTGGCTTGTAATTACTGAAGCTGTCTGGTTGAATAGAGTTGTTTCCTCTATGCTGTCTCAAGGGACCTGCATTTTTTAAACAGATCAGTAATCCTTTGTTACTGAATGTAACAGGGCAGCTATTCAAAAATTGTTGGAGGAGCTGTTTCTGCTGGGTGCTTTGACAGATGACTGTACGTTGTCGGATCCTGTTGGGCATCAAATGGCTTGGCTTCCCTTAGACCCTGTTTATTCCAAAGCTCTCATCCTTGCTAATCAGTTCAACTGCTTGGAAGAAATGTTGATAGCTGTTTCAATGCTCTCTGTGGAATTTATTTTTTATAATCCTTGTGAGAAGTCAGAAGAGGTATGTGCTTATCAATTGCTTGTTATATGTCTCTAAGATGAATAGTTACTGGACAAAGTTACTCATATGCACTAAGTCAAATGCTAGGTTATTTCACCGTGGCATCCAACAATAACTTTGTTCATGTCAATGTTTGGCATGTTAGGAAATTGTTATTATTGTGGCAAATACTCCACTTCCACTCACTTTGTACAAGTGGAACAACTCATCATCCACTTGGTACAAAGTAGAAGCATATGTTATGGCATAATTGATACCATGTTTTATGGCTTTCTAGTCCCATCAATGTTAACAAATGTGCTAGAGGAGCTTATCATTGAAACCTATAAATAGATGTATCATTTAAAGAGCAAAATGAGAAAGAGATAGTGTAGAGAAAGATGTGAGAAATATAAAAGAGAGTGGGCTACCATTGCAGCACTGCCAAGAGAGAAAAGAGTGAGGTTGAGAGTTGAACCGAAAGTGCTAGTGGTGAATTAACAAAAAAGATTACCTGATAAGAAGGCATCTAAAGGTTATTATGGTGGTCGATCGAGATAAATAAAAAATCGCACACATTTTCCTAATCATGCGTGTTAAATTGTTAAGTGAGGATGAACTTAGCATGAACTTTTCACACAATCTCTGCTTTGAGCTTCATTTGAGAACTCTTCTCCTTGCACCTGTCGTCTTATTACAGTACCTATAAATTATGAATAAGAAAAACATAAATAAACAAGATAAGAACATAAATATAATATAAGTTAACTAATAGTAGTAAAGAAAATGAAAAACATAAACAAAAGATTAATGAAAATAAAACATGAAATAAAACTTGAAGATTACAAAGAGAAAGCAAGAAAATGATCTTGATCTGAAAATCAAGATGCCTAAATGAATGATAAATGTCTCTTTTTATAGGCTAAAATTTAGAACTATTTATTTGGTAATTGATTATTGATGTAGTGGCCAACTACTGATTTGGTGGACTTGGTGAACAACAACACTCAAGCATTTTGGCTGGATGAAATGACATTAATGCAATCAGAATATAGCAAAAATGTATTTCATAAAGGTTATTGGCAATCATCTTCTCTTTCCACCTACAACATTTTTGAGCATTTGGATCACTACAGATCAAGATATGACTAAAATACTGAGTAGTGGACGTGGTGAATAGTTCTCAAGCTCTTGTCTAGATGAAATATCATTGCAAATATCAAAATTTGAGCAGTTAGTTCTTATGAAAGTTGTTAGAAATTGTTTTATCTTTCCACCCACCAAATTTGACATCATTTTGCCTTCTAGAACTCCAACTATGGATAAAATGACATCAGATTTGGTAGGTGGAAAGATAAGATAATTTCCAACAACTTTCATAAGGACCACCTACTCAAATTCTGATATTTGCAGTGACATTTTATCTAGACAAGGGCTTGAGGTCTACTCATCACGTCCATCAAAAGCGCTACTCAGTATGTTAGTCATATCTTGATCTGTAGTGATTCAAATACTCAGAAATGTTGTGGGTGGAAAAAGAAGATGATTGCTAACAACTTTCATGAAGAACACTTTGCTAAATTCTGATTGCATCAATTTCATTTTATTCAGCCAAAATATTTGAGTGCTACTGTCCACCACGTCCACTAAATCAGTAGTTGACCACTATATCAATAATCAATTACCAAATAAATAGTTCTAAATTTAGGCCTTTAAAAAGGGGAATTTGCCTTTCTTTTAGACTTCTTGGTTTTTAGATCAAAATCATTTTCTTGCTTTCTCTTTGTAATATTCAAGTTTTATTTAAAGTTTTATTTTCATTAATTTCTTGTTTGTGCTTTTCATTTTCTTTACTATTCTTAGTTAACTTATATTATATTTATGTTCTTATTTTATTTATTTATGTTTTTCTTATTCATAATTTATAGGTACTGTAATGAGACGATATGTGCAAGGAGAAGAAGAGTTCCCAAATAAAGTTCAAAGTAGAGACTGTGTGAAAAGTCTATGTTGAGTTATATCCCTACTTAACAATTCAGCATGGATAATTAGGCAAATGTGTGCGACTTCTTATTCATCTTGATCGATCACTATAATGACCTTTAGATACCTTCTTATTGGGTAATCTCTTTTGTTAATTCACCATCATCACTTTCGATTCAACTCTCAACCTCACTTTTTTCTCTCTTTGTAGTACTGCAATGACAACTCACTCTCTCTTATATTTCTCACATTTTTCTCTGCATTCTCTTTCTCATCTTGTTCTCTAAATGATGCTTCTATTTATATGTTTCAATGGTAAACTCCTTTACCACATTTGTCAACATTGATGGGACTAGAAAACCATAAAACATGGTATCAATTTTGCCACAACATATGCTTTCACTTTGTACCAAGTGGGTGATAAGTTGTTCCACCTATATAAAGTGGAGTATTTGCCACAATAATGACAATTTCCTAACATGCTAGACAATGACATTAACAAAGTTATTGTTGGATGCTATCGCTGGGCGATGTCGTCTAGCGACGATGGAGGCTTGTATCGTGTCTCCTGATGAGAGGTGTTGTGTGTTGGGAAGGTTTTTTTGGTTTTAATTATAAAATTATGACTAATGTTTATGAGTCGCCACTTAGTATTATGGTCACTAGGAACTTATGGTTTGTGAGAGTTTGGGTAAGGGACTAGTTGTACAAGGGGAAGACGCATCACCCTCAGTGCACCCTACCTAACGTAAGTTGCATTGTTGTTTGATTTTTTTAAGTCGGTTTCTATTTGTTGGTCTTTTCTAAGGTTCAAGGCATATCTCTTTCATGAGAAAGTCTATACCTTATTGGGTTAAATCCTAACCGTTTTAAGGTTTGAATTTTAGCATCGCATTTCTACACTTTGTATCTTTAATACCTGAGGGTGTACTTTATCATGTTATTTTATACCCCATAAATATTAAAGTTTACATCAAGATCTTAAAAAATGAAAAAAGATTTTTGACATGTTGGCCAAATCCTAATGGATAATCATAAACTGGTTTTGATATCTATTTTTGGATTTTTTTTAAAAATAAAATAGATGCAATTTTTGTTTTGTGTTTTTTTTTATGGAAAAGATGCTTGGAAAAATTTTAGGAATTGGCCGTATGCAACAAAATATATTTTTTCTTTTTTAAAAATGGAGATTGATTTAAAAGTTTTTTGAGATTTTTTTTAAAATTTTTTTTGAATTTTTTAAATAATTTTAGAGAAAATCAGGTGTTTTAATACCGAATTTGTATTTTACAATGTAAATATACAATCTGATATTGTTCAAAATTGGTCAAAAAAATCCAAGAAAATCATAATTTTTTTTTAATGATTTTTTTTGAAAATTTTTGGATTAAAAAAAGTCCATTGTATGAACAGTGGACATGAATTATAATTCACGCCACTGTTCATACGTGAACAGTAATACATGAATTATAATTCATGGTCTCTGTTCGCAGCGAAGAAATGAATTCTGCATGCAACAACCACGATGAATTCTACATGCAACAGCCATGACGGGGAAGAACGAAGAAAGAGGTAAAGCAGGGAGGAAGAAGATGCCTGGCGAGGAGGAGAAGGAAGAAGAAGAAGAAGAAGGGGAAGGGGAAGGGGAAGGGAAGAGATGTTGGACAACCTAGCGTGGTATTGGTCTGGCCAAGGATGATTGTGTGTTGCCGGTGGTCGCAGCGGTGGAGGTTGGCATCAGCTACAGGAGGAAGAAGAAAAGGTTGCAGCGGAGAAAGAAACGTTGGAGGGAGAAGAGGGAGAAGGTCGCAGTGGTTGTGCCTATCGCCGGTGAGGATTTGAGTTTGTGGGGAGGCTGAGACGCCGTCTGTTGGTGGAGGAGGAATTTTTTATGGGGTCTATAAGGGCTAAAAAAGTAATGCGAGAGAAATAAAGAAGAGAGAACGGTGGTTGGAAGAAAAAAACAAGGGAGAAGCTGATTTTTTGGTTTATTTTGGACCCGATTTTCTCCTCCCCCAGGCCATAACATCAGCCTCTATTTATAGGCAGTGGAAGAGGGAAATTTCGTCTGCACTAGGGTAAAATTTCAGCGATTGATTCTGTTGGGAAGGATCCCAACTATTGGCTCAGAGTAAGCATGGTGCGCTGTCAAATTTACAGAAAAAGCTGCTTGAGTTGGCATATTTAGGCCGGATTATATGCTGATGGGTTGTCATTCTGACTGAAATATTCACACCATGATGTAAAGGAACTGCAGATGATCATTTTCATGGTGATGTAAAGGAACTGCAGATGATCATTTTTGTGCAAATTTGGTTAAATTTAGTGGAAGTTAGGGGCATTAAATGCATTTGTAAAGTAGGTAACCGAACTAGCTGTTTTAGAGATTTAAAGAAGAAGATGAACAGTACCAAAGTTTTGATTTTAACCAAAGTTCATTTCAGTCCTCCCTCTTTAAATTACTTTCAATTGAACTTCTAATTGACCCTAAACTGTTTTAATTAAGCTCCTCATGAACTTCAATTGGAGCCTCGAAGTTACGCGCCTATTCCTTGATCTTGGATTTCTTCAATTTAGCCTTTAATTGATTCCAAAACTTTAATTTTCTTGAAATTTGGCCCCTGATTTCAATCAATTAACTTGGTAAAAATTAAATTTGGTCTCTTAAAATTCTAATATTCTCAATTCAGCCTAAATTAGGCTTCTAAACTTAATTTTTCACCAATTAAGTCCCAAATAACAGTAATTTGACCTATTTAGAGTACAATTAAGTTCTTGCACTTAATTAAATCCTTTAATTGCACCCAAATTAATTCTTAAATATAATTAAAATTTAATTTGGCCCATGATTAAATCAAATTGGCCTATTAAAAATTTAATTATGTCATTGAACTTAATTTTTATGCAAATTCATCCAATAATCATTTAATTTGACCTTGAATTTGTATTTTTTATCTCCTTTTTTGGGCATAATGGGGTATAATTAGGCCTTGAATTTCCTATAAGAATTGCAGCTTGATTTTCCGACCTATTTTCTCCACGTTGCCCGCCTTTATTTTATTTTTTGATTTTTATTTTGAAAAAAAAGTGAATTTTTGGGGAATAACCTAGAATTAAGTTATGATAGATGCCATGGTGAAATATCTTAGCATTTGACTTAGTATAGATAAGGAACTTTGTCCAATTACTATTCATTTTAGAAACATATAACAAGCAATTGATAAGCTATATCTTGATTTGTAGTGATCTAAATGCTCTGAAATATTAAAAGTGGAAAGAGGAGATGATTGTCAATAACTTTTATGAAGAATACTTTGTCAAATTCTGATTGTATTAATGTTATTTTATTCAGCCAAAATGCTTGAGTGCTGCTGTCCACTAAATTAATAGTTGGCCACTATATCAATAATCAATTACCAAATGAATATTTATGAATTTTAGCCTATAAAAGAAGACATTTACCATTCATTTAGGCATCTTGATTTTTAGATTAAAATCATTTTCTTACTTTCTCTCTTTATAATATTCAAATTTTATTTTTATTAATCTTTTATTTATGCTTTTAATTTCTTTTACTACTCTTAGTTAACTTATATCATATTTATGTTCTCATTTTGTTTATTTATGTTTTTCTTATTCATAGTGTTTAGCTAAGTTAATATTGTTAAGGTGAACAAGTTTTACTAATGGTGTTACAATATGTATAATATAAACTCAACATGGAATTCAATATTTATATCCAAGAAAGTTTGTTATTAATATGTTGTATCTTTTTATCTTAATAATTCTTAATACCTTATTAATTAATTTAGATTTATGTTATATAACTCTTGGTACAATAAATGCTTGATTCTTTATAGTTTTCGGCCGACATCGTTATTATGAGAGGAACTTGATTTGTGATTTGTAGTTAACATAAATTAGCATTATGAATTTTTGATAATATTTAAAAATATGATATTAAAATAAGATAATTAATATGATCATGTTAAAAATTTATAATGAACTTTTAAGGATAAATCATTCAATTAAAACCTCCTTTGTGTATGACATTTAGTTGAGTAATAAAAAGAGTTTATACTATACTTATTTCTAAAACTATTAGTAAATCTTTTAACCTGAATAACTATTTTTATCATTGTTTAATTCTCTAACCCTGATAATATTAGCTTAGCTTATAAGTGGGGTGAATTCAACATGGACTTTTCACACAATCTCTGCTCTTAACTTTATTTGGAAACTTTTATTTTTCTCCTTGCACTTGTCGTCTTATTGCAGAGAGTGGATAATTTCTCATTTATTATTGTAAATCTTATTCTCTTTCTATATAATTAAATGACTTTTCCCGTGAATGTAGATGATTTACTAAATTATTTTAAATATTATATCAGTGTGCTTAACTTTCAATAACCAATCTTCAATAACCAATAAACAACTTTCACAATATCACTAGTTGAAATTCTAACGTATCATTGTCTAGCTAAGTTCTCATTGATGAGTGTGATAAAAACTAGCCAAGAATTAGCTATTACGTCGGCAGAGTCAATGGGAGACTAGGTGTTCAGGGAATGACTGGAACACTGATCTAGGCAGTTTTCAATAGCACGGATGACCTGATGAGAATTTTCATTTTTTTTTTCTTTATACTTTTTTCTTTTTATTCATATATTTTCAGGGTTGTAAATGTTCCAGCACTTCTGATTCCTGTGTGATATGTTATTCATTGCTAAAGGACTGCTGCAGTTTCTGAATCTCTTCAAACATTGTCAATATGATATTTGCACTGACTTTTTTCTATTCTTGCATTATATTATGCTACCTAACCAAACCCGTAAAACCTTGAGTTAAAAGGCATTCTCTCTCTCTCTCTTGGTTGGCAAAAACTGCATAGAAGTGTTTTGCAAGTCCAAATGGTGAACACTTTACTTTGATTAATGTTTATCGCGCTGCTGATGAACTTTTACAGAAGAGAGGGATGGAACTTGGTATAGAAAAAAATGAGAAAAATATTAAAGAAAAAAAATGAAAAGATACTGAGAAAATGGTGCAAGGAAAATTTAGTCGCTCACTGAGGCATGCTTGTGACATTCACAGGTTTACCCCTTTTTCTTCCTCTTTTCCCTTAGGTTACTTTACTTTCTGGTAGGATTCACTTATAAATTTTAATTTCAATATGTATTCTATGTTCAAGAAATTCTCGAGACTTGACCTATTGTGATCTTTAATAGCCAGCAATCTTGATTTAAGAGGTCATTTTCCACTGCAGTCAAATTAGAGGGCATGTTGAACAGATGGGTCTTCCTATTTCTTCTTGTGGAGATGACACTCTACAATTCCGTAGATGCCTTGCTGCTTCATTTTTCCTTAATGCAGCTTTGAAGCAACCCGAGGGAAGATGCAGGTATTATATCTCTCTATATAAGCTCAGACATCCATTTGCATTTTCCTTAAGGATTCTTTCGTTTTTCTATTATTCTCCCTTGTTAACAAGTCTTTGGCTAGTTCGTCATGGCATCCACCTTCTCTTGAAATCCCTGTTCATGTTATGTCTCGCTTTCCGTTCTCCTACATCAAGACCCTCAGATTTGCTGAAATGAATGGCAGGGCTTTAACAAGTGGTCAAGTAGTGCAGATCCACCCTACTTCTGTGTTGCACCAATCAAAGGTGAAGTGTGTAATTTTTGATGAACTAGTCCAAGCAAGTCAGAAGTACATTCGCAACATAACTATAATTGATTGTGTGGTTGACTGAGCTTGCTTCTCGCTATTATGCAATGCAGGGTTGAAGTTTTGGTATGAACTCTATCAACTAATATTTTGCTTACCTTTTCATCTTGTTTTATTCGTTCTTTTTTTTAAATGAGCTCTATTCTTTTTTATTTTATTAGATTATTCTTTGTAGAAATCAATTTGTGGGTTTGACACAGATTAAATTATCCAACATGATTTTTATAACTGTAAGATATTTTTTTTAATAAACAATAATTGTGTGGAGAGGTATATTATTAAAAATTATGTTTTATAATTTGTTTTGATTTGTTTTCAATTGAGTTATTTTAATTTTATGATCTAAATCACACGTTTGACATGTTAACTCAAGTTAACTTGGATAATTTTTTTAATTAATTTTTTTTAGTTTCATTCTTCAACATTCATTTTAATTTTAATAAAAATTAAACTTTATAATTTATTTATAAAATTATTATAATTTTATGACCTGGTATACGAATTGATAAGTTAATTCAAGTGGATCCAAATCAATCTAATATATTATTGTTTTAATGTTTATTAAAAAAATCTCATATCTTATATTTATTTTGATTTAAAACATGTTTTTACATGTTATTTAGGTTGTTCTCCTTAAGATAATCGAGTTATATCAAATTAATTTTTATATATTTTGTTTTTACAAAAAAAATATTAATAATATTAAAATATTTTTTATTAAAAAAAATTAATTCAATCTATAAAATTACATGCCAATTATGTAGTATTACAATGACGAAAATACACGAGGGCACAGCAATACCCAAAAGCCGGAAATGAGAGGAGAACGAACCTCTAGAGAAGAATTCTGCCTTGCAGGATGATATTTCCAACTGAAATGCTGTCCAACTACTAATCGACCGTGCTAAGAGATTGATTTTGGAGAATATACTCATAACCTCTATACTCTAATTACTAGTTTATTGACCGTGATAAAAAAATTAATATATAAACAATTGAAATTTTTTTCAATATTATTATAAAATTCAATACAACAGCTCAAATTTAAAATATTTTAATCAGATAATTTGTTTAATATGAGTTTTAAATTAAAATGTATGAGACTTATCTACTATAATTATATTCACTTGGTAGATCTAAAGAAAAAAATCAATACAATACTAAAAAGTTAAATTAAATACAAATTTATATTAAAATATAGAATTGTAACAAATAAAATATCAATTAAAAAAATAAAATAAAAAACTCGATAAAAATAAAAACTATAATAAAATTGTAAAAAAATAAAAAAAGAGTCAAATGTTTTTATCATACAATAAAAAAAATAAAAAATTATTTATTATTAGCTCAATACTGAAAAATAAAATTTAATAATTTTTTTATTAAAAAATAAAATAAAAAAAAGCCTAAAATAATTGAAACTTCATATTTTATATACATATAAGCCTGAAATTAAAAAAAAAAAATAACTAAATTGAACAAAAAAACTAAAAACAATTGAGCCAAATCAAGAAAAGACCGAGTCAAACCAAAAAAATCAAACCAAAATGAAAAAAATTGAGCCAAACTGGTTTTTGTTCTAAAATAATCAAAATCAGTCGGTTTAAACCGATTCAATTTTCTTTTTTTAAACTAATTTAATTATTTTTTAATAAAAATTAAACCAAATAAAAAATAATAACCTTTATTTTTGCCTCAAACCCGGGACCTCCTCATTTCATCGGTCAGCTTTTAAGATCAAGATCAAGTTAATTCTAAATCAAGTTTAATAACTATAAATTTTATCTTTATGCATTCCGAGCTCAGCTCGGGAGTCCACACTCCGAACACCAGTTTCCGAAATTGCTCGCTTGCCTGGCTTTGATTATATTTTGCCGATGCTAAAGTATCTCCTTCCAATATGGTCGGCAATTTCTGGCGGAAGTCCTCCGAACTTTGGGTTGTTAGCCAATTTCAGGCAGAACTAGCACCTGCCATGTATCATAGGCTTCTCCTTACTATATACTCGAGCCAAACTTGAGTAAGTTAATATGACCTTATCCTCAATGACGATGGAACTAACCCTTTTCTGCTTCTCTTTCTATTTCCCCTTGCAATGATAGTAAAAACATAAATATGGCTTATTATTTTGACCATTTTCTTTATGTCGGCTTCACTCTCCGAAGCGAAGGGGTATTGATCTCCAAGCTAGCTTATTGAAACCGACTTGGTCTAACTACAACGTGAGAATGGAACAAGCTCTTGATCTTGACAAAGCAGACTATATAAATATCAGACCATTTCGTGTTTCTTAGACCTTAATTGAACCTGGCCAAAGATTCACACTTGACCTTATATTTATTTGAATTCATTAGTTGGATTCGTGTGCTTAATCAGGGTCCATGCCACCGGCTCCTTTTCCCATGTCGCTTGCTTTCAGACCAGCTAATAATGATAGAAGAATCACAAAAGATCAAGTGGGAGAATGTAAAGCCATTTAATTAGCTTGCTTTCAGACCAGCTAATAATGACTGTTAGGATGTTGGCATGCAAACCCGACAAGATAAAAGATAAGAGATAGGATAAAATGAGAAATGAAACACACAAGAATTTACGTGGTTCACCCAATCGGGCTACGTCCACAGACAAGTATAGAAGGATTTTACTAAGTAATATGGGACTTACAACCTCTCTCTTATAATAGGAGAACAACTAAGAATCTCTCTATTATTAGGAGAAAACACCTCACTTACTCTATCACAAATACCTCACAATTTTGTGGGATTACTCTCTCTTCACTCTCTTCTTCTTCTCTCTATTTTGGTGTGTATATAGGCTTGAATGCATTGCCTATTTATAGGCAAGAGTGAGGGTATAATGGTCATAAATTTAGGAGGAATATATGCCTAACAACTCATCCTCCACTGAGTGAGGGTATAATGGTCATAAATTTCATACTCCACCAATTATACCAACTCATCCTCCACTCATACTCCACAAATTACAACTCATCTCCCACTCAAATCCCATCAATTATGCCACCTAATTAAATGGCTTTACATTCTCCCACTTGAAGACTTTGATGAGTTAATCAAGTCTTTACACTTGATCTTTTGTGATTCTTCTATCATTTCTATACTTGCCATGTTCATGCTGCTTATGTTTCTGCTAGGCCGTAAGAGGATCTACACCATATATACTTATCAGTGTTGACCGATTTTGTCAAAGCATCTGCTGGGTTTTCCTTTGTGTGAATCTTCTGAAAATCCACACTTCCATCTTCCACCACTTCACGAACAAAGTGATACTGAACATCTATGTGTTTTGTTCTTGAATGAAACGCTGGATTCCTTGCAATATGCAAGGCACTTTGACTATCACAATACAAAAGAATATTCTCTTGTTTGTGCTCAAGCTCCTCCATAAGTTTCTTCATCCATATTGCTTCTTTACAAGCTTGTGTAGCTGCCATGTACTCAGCTTCTGTTGTGGATAACGCTACAACAGTCTGTAGTTTAGAGACCCAGCTCATAGCTCCTCCTGCAATTATGAACACATAGCCTGTAGTGGACTTTCTTTTCTCAAGGTCACCAACAAAATCTGAATCAACATAACCTCTGATAGTAAATTCTGATCCTTCATAACATAATGCAGCATCTGAGGTACCCTTGATGTATCTCAAGATCCTCTTAATAGTATTCCAATGCTCTCTACCAGGATTTGCCATGTATCGACTAGCTGCTCCCACTGCTTGTGCAATGTCTGGTCTTGTACATATCATGACAAACATTAAACTTCCCACTGCTGATGCATACGGTACTCGAGACATCTCCATCCTCTCTGCTTCATTGCTAGGAGACATACTTGAGGATAATTTGAAATTAATAGGAAGTGGGGTCGAAATTGGCTTGCAATCTTGCATGTTGAAGCGTCGCAAGATTTTCTTTAAATAATTCTTCTAAGAAAGCCAAATCTTTCTTTTACTTCTGTCTCGGTAAATTTGCATCCCTAGAATCTTGTTTGCTGGTCCCAAGTCCTTCATATCAAACTCCCTAGCCAACTATGCCTTTAATTCTTGGACTCGATCTTTGTTGGGGCCTATTACCAACATGTCATCCACGTACAACAACAAAATGATGAAATCTTCTTCAAACCTCTTGTAATACGTACAATGGTCTGAACTGAGTCTGTTGTACCCAAGGCTAATTATGAAGGAATCAAATCTCTTGTATCAACACCTCGGCGCCTGCTTGAGACCGTATAGAGATTTGTTCAACCTGCAAGCCAAGTTCTCCTTGCCTATTTCAGCAAAACCCTCTGGTTGGAGAATATAAATTTCTTCTTCAAGTTCTCCATGAAGAAATGCAGTTTTCACGTCTAACTGCTCCAAGTGAAGATCAAATATAGCACACATTGCTAAGACTACTCTGATTGTCGTAAGTCGTACCACTGGAGAAAATATCTCATTGAAGTCTATTCCTTCTTTCTGAGCATATCCTTTCATCACTAATCTTGCACGATACCGCTCCACTTGATCATTGCCATCACGTTTTATCTTGTAAACCCATTTGTTGCCAATGGCCTTTCTTCCTTGTGGTAGCGGAACAAGATCCCAAGTATTATTCTTGTGCAGAGCTTCAATCTCCTCTTGCATTGCTGTCATCCACATAGATACATCTGTGCTTTTAATAGCCTCATGGAAAGTTGATGGCTCTTCATCCTCTGTTAGAAGACAGTATGCAATGTTACTTTCAGTAACATATTCTGAGTGCCAAGCTGGTGGTCTTCTTTCACGAGTCGACCGCCAAACTTTAGGAGTTTCAGACTCTATGTGTTCTTGCTCTTCATGCTCTGGTACAGCTTCAGAAGAAGCATGATTTTGAGTATTTTCCACATGGACTGCTGTAGTCTCCTTTAGAATGCTATTATGCTCTTCCATTTGCATTTTACCTTCTGCAAATATGACATCTCTGCTGATAACTACCTTGTGGGTAGTGGGATCCCACAAGCGATACCCCTTCACTCCATCAGCATATCCCAAGAATACACATTTTTTGGATTTTGAATCCAGCTTGCTAACTTCTTGTGTATTGTACATCACGTACACAGGACTTCCAAATATATGCAATCGAGAATAATCAGCTGGTTTTCCAGT